GTAATTAATCCATCAGCACACTTATACAATCACTATTTCATGCAGTTGTCTTTTGAACTGGTTAATAGAAGAAAGAGTCACAAAAATAAATTTGTACTGTCTTTTGTATTTACCTATATATTTACATATACCAAGTGTTCTTTCTTTTTTATATGGATTTTAACTACCGTCTATTTTCCTTTCAGTCCCTCCACCCCCGACCCAAAAGCTTCTCTTTAGTATTTCTTGGAGGAGATGTCTGCTAGCAATGAACTCTCTGTCTTTGTTTATCTGAGAATGTCTTGTTTTCTCCTTCATTCTTGAAGGATAATTTTCCTAGATTTTCTTAAATGCTTTGATCTAATAAGGTTCCCTGCCTTGGCTGAAACACTGCGTGCGTGCATGCGTGTGTGTGTGTGTGTGTGTGTGTGTGTGTGTGTGTGTGTTGGGGATGGTTTCAGTGCTCTGTCAGGCAGTTTATAACTTTGCCTCAGCCTTCATTTCCTGCTTGAGGAGGGCCCCAAGGCCAACCAGAGGTGAGAGATTAGGACCTTTTTCGATCTCTTCTCAGAATACACCCAGTCCTGATAATGTACCATGTCATAGAGATTCCTGGGAATATGTGAATATGTTAGAGCTTTTCAAAGTCTCCTATGGACATTAATTCTGTAGCTTTTCCCTTTTAAGGTTTTGAGCAGCTTCACTTACCCCAACAGTTTCCTCTATGTTAGGCAGCTGTGATTTTAAACAATTGCAGCTGATTAAGCTCCCTGAAAAGGCGGTTCACAGCGAGTGTGCTCTGCGTCAGGTCAAATAAAGAGTCCCATGAGTGGGAGTTTCCAAGGAGCTCCTAACAGGTCAAATAGTGACAATTCTCTGGGAATGGGGGCATTTTGGGGAGCTTCCAACTCATTCTGCACCCTCTGGTCACTGCTAAGTTGCTGTTTTTCAGATACTGTAATTGGGAGGCTGTTGGTTTTCAAAGGTACACTGTAGTTGGGGAGAGGAAAAGGAAATAGAACAAGCTAATGCACTACAAATTTTTATATTCTTACTAAAATTCAGCCATTTTTCTTGAATAAACACGTTTTGGATTGCTGAAAGCTTTTGGTTAATTTCCAGAGTTCTGAAAAAGTTGATTTTGACCATTTTTCCAGTGTCACTGCAGGAGCAGATTTTCAGAGTCTTTCTTTGCCATTATGGAAGTCTAGAGCTCAAAGATATTTTTGACTATGTTCGATTTTCACTTTATTCAAGTATAAGAGAACTAAAATCCCTTCAGAGATGTGACCCAATTGTGTACCAATTCAATTTTACAAGTTTTTATTGAACTCCTGTTGTTTCCTCAGCCTTGCACTTCTTACCTGTGTATCAGTTTTATAAGAGATGGGTGTTTGGTAGTGTAGAACAAGGGTGTCAAATACTGCCTATGGCCTGGTTGTTTCGGGGTAGTCCCCCGATGTGTAAAAAAAAATGTTTCTTATATCTTTAAAGAGGTGTAAAAGAAACAAAACCCAAACAAACAAGACTACATGGAAGAAACCATATGTAACCAGCAAAGAGAGCCCAAAATATTTACTATCTAGCCCTTTACAAAAAAAGTTTGTCAGCCCCTACCGTGAAGGGATGGTGGGTTGGTAAGAAGTGAGTCTATTTGCTATAGTTGCCTTTCTTGTGTTTTTTAATGATTAAGTAGTCCCTTGAGGGTCCAAAATAACAGACTGAGAGGTGGAGGGGACCTTACATATTGTCCTTTCCAATACTAAATTTTCGGGATGAAGACACCAAGATTCAAAGACTTTTTCAATGTCACAGTATAGATTATTCAGGACTAAAAGCTCAGCTTTCTGAATATACTTAGCTCCTCTTTCCATTGAAGCTGTCTAAACATTTTCTTACCCCTTCCTTGTCAGCAAAAAGTGTTCTTTTTTTTCTTTAAATATTTTATTTTTAAGCAATCTCTTCCCCTAATATGGGGCTCATTACAACCCCAAGATCGAGACTCACATGCTTTACTGATTGAGCCAGCTAGGTGCCCCACAGCAAAAAGCATTCTTAATATTTAGATAAGCAAGTCCCTCTCCTCCTTTTTCTTGTCCTTCTTCCTCATCTTCACTTTTCCCTCTAACTCACAGAGAAGCTATAGGCTCCAGTTTTTTGGACAAGTCTCTACCTATGTTCTTTGTTTCTATTATACCAAGGAGAATCTCTTAAATATCCACAGGTGACCTAAGTTTTTCAGTTCCCTTTAGTATCTTGCTGATAATGTGAATGATAGCAGTGGTTTTCAAACTGCTTCATTTGGCGATGGGTGAAATTCTGCCTTCGCCATGTCTGATTCAGCCACAAGAGCTACACTTTTATTTATTTATTTAATGTATTGGGCTTCCAAACAAAATTTCATTTGAATAGAGGATTTAGAAGGAGGAGAGAGAGAGAGATTGAGAGACAGAGATTTGAAAATCACTGATTTAGATTATGGGTGAAGTAAGTCCAAGAGGAATCAGAAGTACCTCCAAATACAGTTCTGGGGACAGTGGGAAAAACCAATGCCATATCACCTCCCAATCTCCTCAAGACATATAAGCCTTGGACAGCATTGAAACCATGGATCCTAATTCCTGGTGCAAAATGGAAGAGCATCAGGAAATAAATTGCAAGTAGGCAAATGAGGTACATTTTCAGGGTTAGGCATTTGTTCAGGACCTGGCAGTTTTCTGGGACCATGAAATGAGTTGAGATTTATATTCACAACTGATTTTTGACAAAGACACAGATTCAATCAGTGGAGGAAAGAAAGTCTTTTCAATAAGTGGCGCTGGAGCAATTGAATATCCAAAGGCCAGAAAATGACTGCTAACCTAAACCTCATATCTTATGTAGAAATTAACTTTTAAAAATGGACTATAGGTATAAATGTAAAACAGAGAAAAAGGAAACAGAGGAGAATATCTTGTGATCTTTGGCTAGGCAAAGCATTCTTAAGTTTGACAATAAAAGTACCATCCATAAAATAAAAAGAATAATAAACTGGACCTCATCAAAATTAAAAACTTTTGCTTTTCAAAGACCATGCAAAAGGTATGGAAAGACATGCTACAGAGTGGGAGAAAATATTTGCAGGGCACATATTTAACTAAAGGTATACAAACAACTGTTAAAACTTGATAAGAAAGAAAAAAACCAGTTAGTAAATGAACAAAAGCCTGAAGAGGGGTGCCTGGGTAGCTCAGTTGGTTATGTGTCTGACTCTTGATTTTGGCTCAGGTCATGATTGCAGGGTGATGAGATTATCATCCTTCTCCCTCTGCCACCCCCTCCTCTCGCACTCTGTCTCAAAAAAAAAAAAAAAAGACCTAAGGAAACGTTTTTACTGAGGAGGAATTACAGATGTCATCTATGGACATGAAAATATGTTTAACAGGGGATCCCTGGTGGCGCAGCGGTTTAGCGCCTGCCTTTGGCCCAGGGCCTGGAGACCCGGGATCGAATCCCACGTCGGGCTCCCAGTGCATGGAGCCTGCTTCTCCCTCTGCCTATGTCTCTGCCTCTCTCTCTCACACTGTCTCTCTCTGTGACTATCATAAATAAAAAAAATATGTTTAACACCAGCAGCCATCAGGAAAATTAAAACCATAATTAGATATCACTACAAACTCATTAAGAATAACTAAAATAAAAAAGTAGCAAAATCGCCAAATACTGGTGAGGATGTGGATAAACTGGATCACTAATACTTTTCTGGTGAGAATGTATGTAAATAGTACACTCACTCTGGAAAACAATACTGCAGTCTACAAATTAAACATGTAATGTCATACAACTCAGCAGTAGTACTCCTGAGCATTTATCCCAGAGAAATGTAAACTTACGTTCACACAAAAACCTGTAGAGGAATGTTTATAGCAAGCTTAATTTGTAATAGCCCGCAATGCCCTTCGAGGGTGAATAGTTAACCAAACTGTGGTATAACTGCACTATGGAATGCTGCTCAGCAATATACAGGAGTAAACCTGCTGACATGTGCAACAACTTGTATGAATCCCCAGGGAATTATATGCCAAATGGGGAAGGCCAGTCCCAAAAGGTTACATACTGTATAATTCCATTTGTATACCATTCTTAGAATGACACAATTGTAGAGATGGGAAACAGATTATTGGTTGCCATAGGGTGTTTAGAGGTGGGAGATGGGGGGCTGTAGCCCTTAATTGGGGTAGCATGAGGGAGCTCTTTGGCGACAGTACAGGTCTGTATCTCATCTTGTGGTGAGGATCACACAAATATGCACATGTGGTAAAATTGCATAGGACAACATATACACATGCAAGCATATGCACACACATGAGCAAATGGAAATGGCAAGATGTTACCATTGGGGGAAACTGAGTGAAGGGTACATCAGTAGAAGTATACCTCCCTATACTTCAGCTTCCTCTGAAACTGTAATTAGTTCAGAATAAAAATTAGAGAAAATACTAATTAGAAAAAAAAAGTCATCCTATTTTGCCCATTTCAGAGCCCAAGATGGCAAGAAAAGGAGTTAACTTTATCTCTTATCTTCTTACAGGATCTGTACCTGCCTCTGTCCTTGGATGATTCAGACTCACTTGGTGATTCCATGTGAAGGAGAAGAGAATGTTCAGAGTCCAGAGTACAAATCCAAGCTTACAGTTACAATAGGGTACTTCTATACTCAAGTGTCCAACAGGGCTATTGGTGCTTTCAAGTTTTTATTTGTTCTTGTTATTTTTTAAAACACACTGTAATATGTTGGGTTTATGTTCCTGTGATTTCTCCTCTGGGCCACTGATCCACAGTTACCAATTATAAGAGATAGATTGATAACCATCCTTCGGGGTAACTTTCTGGGGATGTAAAATATGCTAGTCTGTGACCTTTCTATTGAAAACTTAGGCGCCTGCATTGTTTCTCCCGTTTCACTTTGCTCATACACGACAGTCTTCCTTCTGTAGAGGGTTGTTTACATACATAGCACTTAAAATGCGTTTGTGGGAAAGAAACTCATTGGCAAATCCAAGAGTGACAAACACAAGTGCCCCTTGTCTCCCGATCTCAAGAATGCTGGAGGATCTTGGGAGGGCGACAAGGCAGCTCCCACGCCTCGCTCTTCACTCCCAATCAAGCCCCCAGTTTATCGTCTAGCACCAGTTCTGGCTGTCAAGGGGGAGAAACACCAGCAACTCGTAATTCTGACATCAGATGCTTAGGAGGCCTGCGCAGGGCTAGGCAGAATTGAGAAACACTGTAGACATTTCAGTAGAGTTTCTAAAGCTCAGTGAATTTCTTGTCAATCTCTCCAAGTGGGGCAATTTGCAATCAATAAGCAATTAAGAGTTGGCGGTGAGGGACTTCCTATACCCAATTCCTCTAGGAGGCTGTCTAACATAGCGAGTTATTACACAAACTGTATGGTATCCATCTATCTCTGTTCTATTGAATGCCTTGTAAACAGCCAACACTGAAAACACTGTGAGAATTTGTTTTCAGGTCTGATACCTTTCAGTCGCTTTTTATAGCAAGAAACCAATACCCTTTTTATAAAACTTCATGTCTGTACTTCAGGCTCCTTTTTTATAAACTGGTGATTTTTCTTTTGTCTAAAAAACACATGCAGAAAATTTACCAAAAAAAATGCAAAAGAATAACGTAGTTTAGAAATCATGCTGTCACTGCCAAACAGAAACCTCCAGGAGGAAACAAAATGAATAGCAGAGGCCAATTCAATAGAATCAGTCTTTTGATAGCTTTTTAACAGTTCTGCTTACATTAATAATTTCAATGTGGACCAGACATTCTAATTATATTTTAAAGGAAATGTTATGGCATATTTTAAGCAACAACTCTTTTTTATCTACAATTCTGATATTTCATACTGAAGACACGGAAACCTTTCGATTGTCTTTAACACTAGAAAGGATTTCTCTTTGCTAAGGACTGATCATTCGAAATAGTTCTCAGTCTTTGAGGCACCGGTTCATAACACTGCTTTTTGTCTGTAATCATAGCCCATAATGGCAAAGACAACTAAATTTAAGGGAAAGCCATGCATGCCAGTTCTGTGTTTGCTTTTAGCAGATATGAAGATTTCCTTATTTCTTTGTAATCCTTCGGATAGTTTGTGAGGTGCAGCATTCAAAGCCAAGCTGCTGTTTGGCTGCTGAGTGACTCGCGGTTGTTTCTCCACTTGAACTGGAACAAGCTTGGGGTGTGTGTATGTGTGTGTGTACTTGCAGTTGCTTCATGATTAGGAGATGCTCCAGAATACCCCTACATGGATCCATGGCAACCTGGTAGCATTGCTGATGTGCATATGTAGAAGGGGACTCGGTGGCGGAAGGGGTAGCTCAGATGTCCCTAGACAAGCCTCAGATACCTTAGCTATAAGAATTATGCTTCAAGAAAAGTCCTGATGACGGTATTACCAATTCATGGTTAAGTTGGTCATCAAAGAACCCCAAATCATGAGAATCTCCCTTTGCCCTGCTCCTTTATTTGTAGGCAAGTTTGAAACCAGTGTAGACAGGTCTATTTTTAATCTTCAGGACAGACCTCTCAAAGATTCCACTTTCTCCAGATCTCACTTAGCCTGGTTCCTTCAATTTAAGGTGAAACAGAGGCTGAGGCAACTAACCAACATGCTGGTAAAGAGCAAGACCAGAGGAGGAATTTGGATTTCCTCCTGTCCAGGCCCTATGCTATCTTCACGAGCATTTCCTCACTGGTGGCGTATGTACGAAATGGACATATTTTCTTTAGAGTGGCCTTTGACCCAACAGTCTTCAGTAATAAAAGTAGATCTTCCATCTTTCTTTGAATCAATTATAGGAGAATGTTTCTGTACTGCCACTTCAGGGGGCTTGGTCTTGTTCCAAATTCAAGCATTTAATGATTACATGTTAAATTGGCCCATTTTCAAGGCAAAAGAAAAATTCTCACTGAGCGCCTTCACCCCTGTCATTCATTCCGGATTTTGCTCAATCCAGTATTACCACTAAAGTCCCATTGTGTTACCTTCTGCACACTCAGCAAATATCAAGTCATTCAGCGAGCATCTGCCACCGCTCCCCACATCCTCCCTCCCTCTTTTACGTGTGCATGAGCTACGCACGCGCGTGCGTGCACACACACACACACACACACACACACACACACAGTCTATCTGTTGCTTGTTCCTACCTCCTGATTTTTATCCCTTACAGAAATAGAAATAGGGACAAAGAAGGGCAAAATGTATATATGGGGGCTGGGCTGAACAACTTCATAAGTAGTGTTAACTAGGGATAAATTGAGAGAAAATTTCCTTTTCTCTTCACTGTTTTGGAAAGGATAGCCATTAGCATGACTGCTTTGTGTCCTTAAGGACTTTAGTATTAGCCTAGATTGAATCATAGAGTTTTCTAGCTGGAAGGAACCTTAGGATCACATCATCTACTCCAAATTCCTCATTTTCATGCCAGGAATGGAGATGCAGAGGTAAAGTAATTTCCCCAAGGTCACACAGCTGGCTAGGGGCAGGGCTGGGATTAGAACCCACATCTCCTGGCTCTTTTTCCAGGGCCTTTTCCCACTGAACTGTATTGCCTTCCACTAGGCTCCTGAGAATTCTTTCCCAGGGTCATGTTGCATCTTGGAGCCATATGGTGCTGCCCTGAGCTCAGTGGGAAATCCACCCAGCAACCTAATACGTCCCTTTCTCCCTGTGTTCACATGGTTCCCATCTACATGGACTGCAGATGTCCCCAAAGAGAAGGAGGCATTGAGAACCACAGGAACAATGAGATCCCTGACCTTGTCAACTCAACACAGGGGATCACTGCCCCACCTCGAGGAGCCCTCAGGACAGCCCTCTGAGCTCCAGTCCTGTCCAGTGGAGATGGGGGAAGACTGACTTTCCCTGTCAGCTCATTTCATCTCCTACTAGTTGGGTCTTTGTAGGCTGAGAGAAATGTTTCTTGTTCTTAGAGCAGGGAAAGGAAGGAAGAGCAGAACATAGCTTTGTTTGTCCTGATTTTTTGAGATGGCTTTGCAGTATTTTTTAAATGACTGTGACTGCCATTCACTGGCCATAATTTCTTTTAAAATATGGGAGAGAGCCCAGCTAGAGAAAATAACGGTCTCACTGTGGTGGTTCTCAACTACAATGTTCCCATAGCCATCCTGGCCCAATGGGGACAATTTCCAGGTATAAGCAAGGGGCTTTGTAACTAAAATGCACCCTGGCTGATGTTAAACGTTGGTTCCTTGTGTTTGCACTAAAATAGCAAGCTATGTGCTCTATACCCCATACTCGTCTTCTTGTGTACACTGCTTGGTCCTGTGGCCTTCCATGGCAGAAACCAAGGCAACAGGGTCTGAACACGTGGTTTTTCCTCATACCATGGCTCCTCCTGGGAACTAAGGGGGGTGTTCATTAGTTCAGGTCCAAGAGACTTCCTTCTGGGCTTACTCCACTTCTCAGGAAATTCTCTCTTCTTCCTGCTTCACCTCCCCAATTGGAAGTAACCAAGGAACCTTAAAGTGGATGTATAGTTCTAAGAAGAAGGGAAAGACAAGGGGTCTGAGCCCCTAGATCCTTCTTTGAATCACCCAGCCCAAGTCATAGGGCAGCAATCCATAGTGCTTGCTTTGGACAAAACTGTGTCTACTTCCCTGGTCCCTTCAATACTCTGGAAGGACATGTCCTCGATCCCCCTCAGATTTGGTTCTAAATAGCTTTTCTTTTTTAAAAACACATGTCCCTCAGACAAGGGAATAAGCATGCCCACGTGCCCCAAGTGGGCTCTGGCACACTGATGGGACTGTTTTCCAGGATCAGCCTACCTCTGAAACATCTATGCCAAGAGACAGCTCCAGACAGATGCCCTGGGACCGTGGGGTTTGAACGACCTCCTTTGCTACCCAACTTGCTCTGGGGACTAAAAGGCATTAGAGATTCATTTTCAAAAAAGATTTATTTATTTATTCATGAGAGACAGAGAGAGAGAGAGAAGAGGCAGAGGGAGAAGCAGGCTCCTTACAAGGAGCCCAATGTGGGATTCGATCCTGGGTTTCCAGGATCACACCCTGGACTGAAGGTGGCGCCTAACCACTGAGCCACCAGGCTGCCAGAGATTCATTTTTTTGAAGACAGCCATTGGAACCTGTATGTGGCCACAAAGGGCCGCTTGATTCTCCAAGGCCAGGCCTCAGTCATGCATTGCATTAAGGGATTTGGCTCTTAGGTCTAGGCTGGTTTCATTAGTAAACTGTCAGTATTTTGAAGCTCACCTGAGATGAGGGGGCATTAAGAGTCCTATGTTCTGGGACGTGGAATTGAGAGAGAATGAAATTCCAGACAACGATGTGCCAGAAGTGATCTGAGACCTCCTGTGTAGCAATGGAGTTGTCACACTTATGCCACTGCCCCTGGAAGGGGACCTCTTTATGTAGCGTTGTCCACTGTTCTGTGAATCCATACAGGGTTTCCTCTTCCTTGTAAGTATGACCACCTTGAGCAAGGATAATGCATTGATTCCCCATGCATACCTTTTGGTAGAAGAGGCATCTCCAACAGGCTCTCTGGCTCTTGGTGGCCCGGACCCAGACTAGTGCTGGTAATATTCAGTGGATTGCCCTAAAGGCTGTAATTATGGACCAAGACAATGCAGATCATCCATTTCTTAAAAGTGAATTCTCAATTTTATTCTTCCTCCGGTTAGCACTCCTCACTTCCCTAGTAGTTTACATTAAAAAAAGGCTGGAGGTTTTTGTCACACAGCAGCCAAGACACCGGGTGGGGAGGACAATGCATTTCTAAACCCACAGAGTGCTGACTCCAGTGGTCAACCTACTATTAGCTGGGTCTGTTAGCAGTTCCTCTTAAGCCCCTTCCGCTGTTTCTTTTCAGAGATTAGAAGGCTAACTGTCCATTGGCTTGCCTTTCAGTATGCCTAGTTGAAGGGACTTTGCCCCTCCTATCTTTTCGGGAAAAGGAGACTGTCTCCTCTGTCTTCTCCACCCTGGTCCCCAGAGCTTATTCAGCATCCCCAAAGGTATAATGTGGCCTTGACATTCAACTTCTTAGTGTCTACATTACTTCCTACTGGTTTCTTATTAAGGATCTATGCAGACGTCCCACTTTGGCCTATGTGGTGTGACAGTGGCTATCAAATGACAAGACTCTCGAATCCACTTGTGACTGCCTACATTTGTATCCCTCAATTTCATA